TTCAGGTGGACCCTTGCAGTGAGGCAGAGATGGGCAGATTCCGAGGCTTGCTGGACAGCTAGCCTAGCTTCATAGGTGAGCTCCAGGTTCAGTGAGAGACTGTCTCAAAAACCAAGGCAGATGATGACCCAACATTGACCCCGGCTTCCACATACATGTGCACTCATGTGTACCCATATGTACACACACACACATTCAAATACCCGCACCCATACTACAAAGAAAAAAAAGAGGCTAGAGAGATGGCTTAATAACTGCTCTTGAGGACCAAGATTTGATTCTCAACACACCTATCAAGCAGCTCCTAACTACCTCTAACTCCAGCTCCAAGAGATCCAATGCCCTCTTCTGGCCTCTGCAGGCTCTGCACTCACATGCACATATCCACTCACAGGCACATACACAGAGTTAAAAATAAAAACAAAATCTCTTTAAAAAAAGAAAATAGGTGAGAAACAACTTTGACACTTTCTGCAGAGCTGGAGACCAAGCCAGCAACAGCCAATGATGACAATCCAAATATACCAGCAGCCAATGAAAAAATGGGAATCAACACTTGCCCACCCACATCTCTGGTTCTGCATGTTCAGAATCTATCTGGACTTGCCTGTTGCTTCTTCAGACTGAATAACCAGTGTGAAGAGCCATGCACACTGGAATTGCAGAAACTAAAGGAACACGAACTTATGAACACTTGCCAGGGCTTCCTGTGTAAGAAGTGTAAGGATTCTGTCCTTAATTACGTCATCAACCTTCAACGGCATCCCAGCCTAAAAAGTGGGTGCACCCACTGTGCGTCCCTCTCTTTCCTTTCCACTCCTTCCTTCCGTCTGTCTGTCTTCTCTCTCCCTCTCTCTTCCCCTCTCTCCCAGTAAAGCTCTAAAAAGGTAACCACGGCTGTGATTCTTCCGATCAACACTCTCCTCCATCAGCATGGCTGCCGTGGGCATGGCCAGCCATGAGCTCCGTCGTTTAACCAACAAGAAGGGCCCTTGGGGAAAAGCCCTGGGCATCACCAAGGAAGTTGGCTCCAAGGATATGGTATGATATCCCTACCAGGATACCATACCATAGACAGGGCCCTCCCGAGAACCAGGGGGCCCAGCGGGCAGCCTGTGAAGCAGGGCTCTAATGACGCTGTGCTCTGCAGCCTCCGCTACCTACTACCTACCTCACTCAACTGAGTTTGTTAAGTATGACACAGGGTCTTGCCAAGACGGGAGATGAGGATGCAGTAAACAAGGTCTGTAACATTAGGGACTATCGGGCCACTAGGGCTGAGCTGGGAAGGCCTTGGCTTCCTCACTAAGTATCCCTTAAGCTCCAGCATCAGTCACTGCTCCTGGCTGCTTACTTCTTCCTTGAGATCAGGCGTCTGGCAGAGTGAATGAGGCGTCTGTGAAGGAGGGGGGAGACTCCTTAGGGATACTTGGCCGAGATGGCTGCGGGGGGCACAGTGGGGACAGCACCCCAGGTTGGGTCATTTGCATGAATTCCTCTCTCTCTTCAAGTCCCCTGAAGTACAGCCAGGCCTTGGTCAAGAAGACAGTGGTTTGGGGCATTTGTTCCCCACTCGTGGTACTATTAGACAGGGCTGGGGGGTGGACCCTGGAAGGCAAGTCAATAGGAGCAGGCTTTTGAAGGTTAGGGCCCAGCCCCTAGTGCTGGCCACTCTTTGCTTCCTGCTCTGCCCCAACCATACACCCCTGTCACAGTTCCAAAGGGTGGACTGAAATCCCTTTGAAACTGTGAGCCAAAAGAAGTCTTACTGGCCTGAAGTTGTTCCCTTCAGCTATTTAGGTCACAGGGTGGCAGAAGCAATTCACAGAGCTATGGTTTCCTCCAGGCCCCATTCCCACACCACAGATGGCTCCCGGCTACGTAACACGTTAAAGGCGTCTTTCCTCCTCACTTTCTGCGGGGCCAGGCACTGAAAGGGCTGGAAAGGCACAGGATACACCAACACCAGGCTCTCAGCACAAAGGAGATTTGCCCCAGAGGGACAGAGGGCTGGGATAAGAGACAAAGACAGGAGATAGAGGATGAGGGAGAAGAGGAAGGGAACCGGGGAGAGGTGGGGAGAGGGTATTTGTCCTGGAGGGACAAGGACTGCCTCTGGAGATAGAGAGGAGACAGATGTGGGACATAGGAAAATGGCAGATTATAAAGGGAAAAGGGGAAATCTCATGTTAGGATGAAGTGGTTTGTTTTGACAGCGCTTGTTAATTAGGGCAGCCAAAGGGGTTTGTTTGGTTGTTTTTTGGGTTTTTTTTGTTTGTTTGTTTGTTTGTTTTTTCGAGACAGGGTTTCTCTGTGTAGCTTTGGAGCCTGTCCTGGAACTCCCTCTGTAGACCAGGCTGGCCTCAAACTCAGAGATCCACTGGCTCTGCCTCCCAAGTGCTGGAATTAAAGGTGTGTGCCACCACCGCCTGGCCAAAAGGGGGCTTTTAATTTCTGGGCTTTGATAGCTGGACCTTGGTAGTCAGCCTCAGGAGGAGGAAGTGGCCAAATAAGGGACTAGACCTTGGTGGCCAGCTTCAGGAATGTCACCTAACAGTTTACCATGCTCAGGTTAACTAGAGCCCTTCACTTTCCATAGTGGTCTTTATCTTCCGGTGTCAGTCACAGCTGTGCCACAGCAATCGGTGTGGCACCAAAAATGTCCTCCCAAGAGGTGCAGCGTTATGTGAAACCACGAGAGTCTGTTAAAGGATCTCAAGTATAAAAGGGGGATAATACACTCACTGATGTTGTTCTGCCCAGGGAAACCACGAGAGTCTGTTAAAGGATCTCAAGTATAAAAGGGGGATAATACACTCACTGATGTCGTTCTGCCCAGGGGAGATGGGGACCAACAGCAAGCTCTCCGCGCCACCGCTGCCTGACCGGGCCCTCACCACCCAAGAGCGCTTGACTCCTCTCTTTCAGTTCTTAAGGGGTCATGTACACAGACAAAGCCACACCCAGCTTGTACCCCAAAGCCATTGGCTGAATGGAATGAATTCCCACAACAGTGCAGTGTGGGATAGGCCTGTGGCTGCACTGTCCACCACGGCGCTGTTGAGGGCAACAAGAGAGTCATACACACCTGCTCCTTCCTTCCGTGCTCCACCTCCTTTCCTCCCTCTCCTCCTTCTACAGGGTCTCATGTAGCCCAGGCTGGCCTCCAACTTGCTATGTATCCAAGAATGGCCTTGAACTACCAAACTTCCTGTCTCTACTTCCCAAGTGCTAGGATTACAGGCACGGGACACCTGTAGGTGTAGGGCTGGAGTTTGAACCCAGGCCTTTATGAATGATAGGTAAGCATTCTACAAACTGAGCTACATCCTCAGCTCACTTGCTAATTTATTTATCTATCTACCTGTTGCATGCACAGGGGGTCATACTTCTGCTATGGAGTGCATGTGGATGTCAGAAGACAATTGTGGGAATTGGTTCTCTCTGGCTATCATGTGTGTTAACTGGGCATTGAACCCAGATCATCAGGCATGGAGGCCAGCCCTTTTGCTTGCCGAGCCCTATCATCAGCCCTGCTTTTTATTTCCTATGGTGAGAAAGTTATATGCATAAAAACATATAAAACGTATGTTCTGTTTAACAGATAACCATAAGGCAAATCTCTACATTAACACCACCAGGAGCAAGAGATGATAACCCAATCACCGACCTCCAAAATCCCCCATGTGCACCCATTCATCACAGCCCTGGCTCTCCTCTGTGACACAGATGTTCATTTCCATCCTTTGTGTGTTTGCTTTCTACAGCCCAGTGTCGCCACAGATAAACTTTTGGAGAAAAACATATTGTATATATTTTGTTGATCATTCCCTGGGTAAGAGTCAGTGATCATTACGGTATTACGTGATGGTATGCTACTACTTGTCTCTGTGGCTCCCGCTGTCACCGCAAGAATGATGCCCGGTCTCTCTGGGCTCTTTTGCGGTCCACAGGCTTTTGGATTATTGTTTGTTTACTTGTCTTTGAGACAGGGTCTCATGTAGCCTAAGCTGACTTCAAACTTAGCATGCACTCCAGCCTGGCCTTTAACTCTTTTTTTTTTTTTTTTTCCGAGACAGGGTTTCTCTGTGTAGCTTTGCGCCTTTCCTGGAGCTCACTTGGTAGCCCAGGCTGGCCTCGA